TTCTGGGGCTCAAGCAGTCCTCCTGCCTTAGCCTCTTGAGTGGTTGAGACTATAGGTATGTGCCACTGTGCCTGGCCAAATCTGGATTTTTTTAGCTTTCTCTCAAAAAATAGGAAAAAAATGAATTTTTTTTGTGGTACTGGGATTTGAACTCAAGTCACTTTACCACTTAAGCCACACCTCCAGCCTGAAAAATAAGAAAATATGACACTAGCAGGCCCTATTTGTTCATGGTAATTAAAATAAGTATGACTTGATTTAACATAATAGTGTTTCTTCAGTTTCTGTCACTTACACACCTATGTGATTTTTGTCAAATTTGTGAGCCACTTGTGTTTTTTATTTTATATTTTTCTTAAATCAACTCAAATTTTAAAAGCCATGAAATTGCTCATTTATATATCTGCTAGTTATATTTTTAAATATGCAGTAAAATAAATATATAACTTTTAAAAAATAAAAATAACTCATCTAAAGCAACTCACCTATTAGTGGCCTGACATGCCACAGTTTGGGGAATGGGATGTCCAGAATATTCTTTTATGTTCTGTTCCCTTCTCCTTCTTAGATTCCTTTGCTCTAACAAAGGTTCATATATATAAGAAAAGAAACAAGAACTGTTAGTTTTTAGAGAGAGAAGTACTCAGTTTTAAGAACTCACCCCCATCCTCCCTCCCTAGATTTGTTTTCCTAGGAGGTCAGTGTTTCTGAATTCACCACTGAAACTTGGCCAAGATTGGCCATATTTTGATCTAGCCCACTTTTTTTCAGGTACTATGGGTTGAACTCAGGGCATCATGCTTGCTAGGCAGGCACTCTACCACTTTGAGTTGCACCTCCAGCCTAATCCAGCCCACTTCCTACATCTATTAGTAGACATTATCTGAGGCAAATATTTGAAGATAAAGTAATAGTTTCTGCATTATCACACAAAATGATAATAGAACTTAGTGAATGAGGACTGTGTTCATGAGACCCCCATGGGATGAGATCCGCCATGGTCCAGCTTCATAAGGCCTCTTGGAGACTCACTAAGATTTTAATAGGAGCAAAGTTGAAAGGACTCCAGAGAAATGGCTCTTCCTCTTCCTAACATATGGGGTAACTGAGATCCAGAGGGCAAAATGGCATAGCTAGTGTTCCACCCTTAATTGGTGAGAAAGCATGCATCTTGGCCTACTCACTCAAGCCTCTCCTGTCTTAGCAGCCTTGTAAGGAAAGTCTCATGGCAGGAATCAGAGGACCCCAGCATTAGAAATGGCTTCCTTCCAAAGAAAGAGGAGCAGGTCCCCAGTAGCCACTCAGCCAGAATCTGAGATCACTATCCTAAAAATGACAGAAATGTGTCTCATTACCCTGGATAAGAACACTCATGACCTGAAGCCCCATTCACTGTTTAAGGGATTTCTGGCTGTGATATGAGTACAAAGAATTGTTGAGCTGATCCTCAGATCCCCTGGTGCCATCTAGCCCTGCCTGGAAGACTTTTCCAGAAAACATCCAGAATCTTCTTTGGGTCTACCTTTCATAGTTACAATAAGTAACTTTGAAACATTCCTGTGATTCTGTACCTGGTGTAGCCCAGGCTAAATGCCAAGGAGAAATTCTGAAGCTCTGAATTTTGATCTGTTGCTATTTCCCCCCTGAATTTAGGTTAAAAGATTTTAATAAAATCCTAGTAATTTTTGTCGTCTTAAATGTGACTTACTGATGTCAAAACAACCAGCCAAATGATTCAGAAACCATTTACTGGCTATTCCTATGCTGTGACAGGCTTTGGTACACAAAGATGAGGTGGGATGTGGGCCAGGGGGTAGTTTTCCCTGGAGGGTATCATGGACAGTAGAGTAACAAGCAAACCCATAGTAGAAGCTCTATGTGGCAATACAAGGGCCACCTCCTCCAAAAAGTCTCCCCAAAGTTCAGGGAAAATCAGTAGTTACCTCTGTTCTCAAAGTACCAATGTAGCCCTCTACCACTCCACTTTGTTCTTATGGTTTGCTTTGAGTTCTGTTGCATCCCTAGCCAGTGAGTTCCTAGAAGGCACAAGCTGTATTTTATCAACTCTTTGTTCCTAGCATGTACTGTACAGCAGTTGTCCTTCCAAATACAAGTAAGGGAGATTTGGACAGGATCCTTGGGAAGCAGGGTAGGGAAGAAAGTATGGTTTGACGGAGGAAGAGGCATTTGCACTGTGGATTGAAAGACACAAAGGAGCTCCTAGGAGATGTTCTGGCATAGCCTGAGAAGTGTCTGTGGAAGCAATCATCATACCTACATCTGCAAGTCTCTTGCCTGTACCTGTCACCTTTTCCTGACGCAGATACACCTTTTGGTGAATCTGTTTCATTCCACACAGACAAGGCAGGTGTTTGTTTTCTTCTGGGCTGATTGTTAGCTGATGAGTTGCTTGTTGGTTAATTTCTAGCTGTGATTATTAGTGTTAAAAAAATACAGAAATGGTAGGTAGGGGTGTTTCTTATGAAAACAGTTTGAGCAAGCCTTGAAGGACTTCCTAGCAGGGATGTCATGTTGATCCATGTCCACATGTGGACTAAGTCCAAAACTTCTTTAGGAAAGAGATGTATCACTGAATATGATCTTGCAGTCCCTTCAAGGACAATGTTGCAACCTGTGTCCAAATCCACCTTACTTTTCCATAGCACGATTTTCCTACAAATGATATGATTTATTAATTGAATGACTTATCTCCTGTTTCTTTTTTGCAAGAATGACAACACAGATCTTGTTTTGTCATAGATATGTCCCAAGTACCTGAAATAGTGTCTAGCACATGCTGAGTGCTTGATGAATGAGTGAGTATTGGTATGAGTGAATATATTGCATGGTTGGTTGGTTGGTTGGATAGACAGATGGATGGATGCTTTACCTCAATACCAGATCTGTTCTGTAAGAGAAGCAATACATAGGATTTTGGTCACTATTATTTAACCAGAGAGCCTCCTCTATAGTAGAGGCTGTTTCCTGTGGAGTGGCGGGATTAATTTGTGCCCCACAATGGAAGTCATCAACATACATAAGCTAGGAGAAAAGGCAGTGCCTGAAAAGTCTTCTCGTTGTTGAAATGGCATTGCTTACATGCATTTTGGATAAAGGGGATAACTATCATGCTGAGAGTCCTGTGTCAGGGACCTGGCTCCACATCCCAGATCTGCCCGTTTCTAACTGGATGAATTAAGGTCACTCAGTGCTACCTAGTCTCAGTTTCCTTTCTTGTAAAATGGGTTCAGGAAGTCCCTCTTGACAACGTTCTGAGCACTGGGTCTCCTGAAACTCATGGGTCTCCCCAGGAACGGTGTCAAGCCATGGAGGCTTTCTGACAGACAGCAGCGTGGGTGGGTACCCTGAGCCTGTTTCTAAACCAGACTCTGGCTCTCCCCAGGAAAAGATCCAGCAACGCCCAGGAGTTTTGTTAGGGAGGGTTGTGCAGTACTCTTCTCCTCCAAACCCAAATCCTCAGTAAGTCAGGAAGATGTATGTGTTTTAAAACATTGGGAGGTCTGCTTTGGATCACCCTGGGCTGTGGCTTCCCCACACAGCTGTGGTGAAGAGAGGCAGTTCCTCCACCTCGAGGTTGTTGAGCCCCACACAGGGCTGCCTTCACTTGGCCCCAGTGGCCGTTGACTTTTAAATCATAAAAAGCTGCTCTACATACAGTTTACTCTGTTGCTGGAAGTCAGCGGAACATAGGTATTAGGAAGGAAAAAAGAGAGAGAGAAAGGAAGAAGCAGCCGTTAATCCCGCCAGGCTTCTGGGCTCTGGAGTAGTTGTGGATGACAAAAGTTAATTAGAAACATGAACAGTTTAACCGAAAACACTTGTGACAATTGGAAGGGCAGCTTCTTCGGTTGGAGAATTTTTCCTAGGGAATCATCGTGGGAGAAAGTGGCTGCTGCTAGGTAAGTCACTGGGATTTTGAGGGTGCAGACGCAGCTCTTTGGGGGCTGACAGAGTGCAGTCTGTGTGCTGTGTGCGTGGGGTGCCATGAGCACTGGGCTCAGCACAGTGTGCCTACCATGTCTTCCTGCCACTTTCTTCCAACGGCTACCCATACTCGGAAGCCAGAACTGCCTCATTCCAGCACTGGCTAAGGAAAAGGCTACAGTTTTCAGCTCTGTGATACCTGACCACCTTGGTAGCTAGCAGAACTGTAGTTCGGAGCCCGTGCTACTCAGAATAATTCTGGCTCTTGTTTGGAAATATTTTGAGGCATTTCTGAGAAAAGAATCTGGTCAGGGAAACACTTGCTGAGTGCCAAGGGGAAGCCTTGACTTTTAGATAACCTATATTTTTTTTGCTTTTGGGAAAGCCTTGTGTACAGATTATGCCTTAAACAGAAAGAAAGATTATGCCTCAAAAAAAAAAGTCAGTCTGAATCATGTTTGTAACTCTTTAAAATTGCCAACGTAGGAAAAACTTACATGCTTTGATAGGATTTACCAACTTTTGTGGGCAGTTGTTCTCTAAAGATTCTTCTTGGTTTCTTCTCCTTTTTTTTTTTAATCTGTTTTATTTTAATGTCTTTCTGCTACACTGATTCCTTAAAAGTTGGATAATTCTTGATTCTGGGAAATGGAATTCTGGGTTGAATAGTTCAAAGCAGTTGGTATTTCCTGCACCTTTCTTGTACCCAGTGGTGGCTGGTGGTGGTAAGGGATTTGTTTGTTTTTCTGCAGATTTACATTCTTAATTATACTCTGTACATGTTACTGTTAAGATCGGCATGCATTTGTACAGCACATGTCACCAAAGTATGATGTGGCTGGGCAGGAGAGAGATGAGTTGTGCATGATAGAAAACAGGAGGAAGATGAACTAGGATTTCAATTTAAGTACAGATAATACACAAAGCAGGTAATGGAGCCATACTGCATTTGGGTTGGGAACAGCTGCCTATATAGCCATTGGCTGATCTACCATCATGTCCAAAGCAGGTCAGCAGGCATGACTCAGGTCTCCTTCCCTTTCCTGTCTTTGCAGAGCCATTGGCAAACTCAGCCTCTTCCCACCCCGGAATGAGCGAAAATGTACCTGCTTCCTTGGAGAGTAGCAGCCTCTGCAGTCCCGCTAATTGCAGCACCTCCTCGGCCATCCCGCAGCCTGGCGTGGCCTCCAAGCCCTGGCGCAGCAAGTCCCTCAGTGTGAAACACAGTGCCACATCATCCATGCTATCAGTCAAGCCTCCTGGGCCCGAGATCCCCAGGCCCACACCTGAAGCCATGAAGCCAGCCCCCAACAATCAGAAGTCCATGCTAGAAAAGCTGAAACTTTTCAACAGTAAGGGGGGTTCCAAGGCAGGTGAGGGCCCAGCATCCCGGGACACAAGCTGTGAGCGACTGGAGATCCTGCCCAGCTTTGAAGAGAGCGAAGAGCTGGAAGTCGCTGGCCGTGCACTCTCCACTCCGGGACCTGCATCCAGCAGCCCCAAGATTGCGCTCAAGGGCATCGCCCAGCGGACTTTCAGCCGGGCACTGACCAACAAGAAGAGTTCTCCGAAAGGCAATGAGAAAGAGAAGGAGAAACAGCAGCGGGAGAAGGAGAAGGAGAAAGGCAAGGACCTCACCAAGAGAGCATCGGTGACTGAGAGGCCGGACCTCAAGGAGGAGCCTAAGGAAGAGCTCAGTGGAGTGACTGTGATTGAGATGCCAAAAAAGTCCTCCAAGATTGCCAGCTTCATCCCCAAAGGGGGGAAGCTCAACAGTGCCAAGAAGGAGACCACAGCCCCTTCCCATAGTGGAATACCAAAACCAGGAATGAAGAGCATGCCCACAAAGTCCCCAAGTGCCCCCACACCTTCCAAGGAAGGAGAGCGGAGCCGGAGTGGGAAGCCAAGCTCAGGGCTCCCCCCACAGAAGCCCCAGCTGGACGGCAGACACTCCAGCTCCTCTTCCAGCCTGGCATCCTCTGAAGGAAAAGGGCCAGGAGGAACCACCCTGAACCACAGCATCAGCAGCCAGACCGTCAGTGGGTCCGTCGGGACCACCCAGACCACAGGAAGCAATACCGCCAGTGTTCAGCTACCTCAGCCACAGCAGCAATACAGCCACCCCAACACTGCCACGGTCGCACCTTTCCTGTACAGGTAGGACAGCACCTGCCACCTTCCTGGGCCGCTGGGTAAAGAGCATGGCTGGTGGGTGTTCAGTCCGTGGGTGCAGAATCTGGAGTGCCCTCCCTCCAGGAACAGGGGAGCAGACAGCAAAGGTACCATGTGATTCACAGCTAAGAGAGGCATACTTGGAGCACTTGAGAGGGCAGCCCTGCAGCATCACTGGGGAGGTCCACGGTACAATGTGAGCCATCTCCAGGATGAGCAGGGCTTCTTCACTGGTCATGTGGGGACCAAGGCATTTGAGAAGCAGGAGTGGGGGTGGGCTTGGCAGAGTGACTCAAGTGGTAGAGTGCCTGCCTAGCAAGTGTGAGGCCCTGAGTTCAAACTTCGGTACCACCAAAGGGGGAAAAAGAAGCGGCAGAATAATGAAGGCCTGGATGTTCAGAATGGGTGGTTTGGTGTCACCCAACATGAGCTGTCACACATCCTAAACATACTTTAAAAAACCACAACAACCACCTTGTTAAGTAACCCAGATTTCTTCTCATAGCAGTTGCCTGGAAATTCACAGTCCTCACAGTGCTGGGACTTTTTGAGGGGAGAGGAAGGATGAGGGAAGTTTGAATGATAAGGGAAAGACTAGGTTTACAACAAGAAGAACCCACGCTGCCATTAAGGAGATAGCCTGCTGTCCTTTTTGTGTGTCTCCCCGGCCCCCAAGCCCTATTTCTCTGAGGGCACAGCCATGGAACTGGGTGCTACTTGCTTTGTGTGGTTCTGGCTTTGAGAGCCTCTGCTGCTCAGCCTATTCCATACACCCTTGCTAAATGAGGCCCCCTGGCTCCAAGTGCTCTGTGATGCCTGTGGATGAGCATTTCAGGCAGATGGAAGCTCCCAGCACTGCTCTTGAGGGAACCCAGAACTGTTGCTTCCAGTACTCAAGTCAGTCCCTGAGCCCCACTGCACAGCTGGATAATAACTAATACCATTGCCAATGATTATCATATTCCTATGCTTATTTTACAGCTGTCATGCTAAATGTGAACACATAGACAACTGCACACCCATTCATATACCAGGAGGTGTGGACATGCATCAGTGGTCACATATAAATATGGACACAACTCATTCACATATCAAGTACGAATGCACATATACATACATGTATTTATATACCTGGTCAGGTACAGAGATGCATGCCCACACTTTCAGCTTCCTGTATTTGTATGGTTCCCCCAAAGAATATTCCCTCTGTCCCTGTGTGAGTCGTGCTCCTGTGAGCTCTGTTCAATCTCCTGCCAATAGCAATTTCAGCTAGCCAGTGTCCAGCTAGTGAGGGAATGCCAATCAAGTCCCTCCTTGATTTTTTTTTTTCTGCTCCTTCTCCCCTTCAGTGAGGGTCACATTGATCTTTTTAACTGGCAAATGGTCATGATTTTATTAAGTCATCAGCTCAGCTAACAGTACTGAGAAGCGTGCCACAGCTTAGATGATGGCTCAGCGTGTCTACATGCACTGCTTTTTAATCCAGTTGTTTTCTGAAGCATGGAGGCAACTGAATAGCTCCCCATGAAATTTTTATAATTCCAATAGCATTAATAGTATTGAGGTACTGCGTATTCAAGGTACTATTCACAGATTCTTGATTTGCCTTTCCCAAATTAAAATGCATGACAATCTCTGACCACTATCAGTCCTACTCTTTTTTTTACTGTGACAGCAAAAAAAAAATCCTTTTGAAGGACTGCAAAATACTCAACTTCTTTATTATTATTGTTTCAAGCTTGTCTATGGGAGGAGAAGCTCAGTAATAAAGTGTAAGTGTCTGAGCAACAGGAGAAGGGAAAACTTCTGGAATGCGCAAGCTCATTTTCATGTTCATGCTCACTGGACAATGTCCTTTGGCTCTTCTGAGGGGCTCTCCTGTTTAGGTGAGCCTGTAAAAAAACTGGGAAGAAGAGACCTGGACAGGAGTTGGGTCACCAGGTCTTATCCTTTATCATCTTGTGATGCTCCTGTGGTCATGGGCACAGGCAGAAGAACCAGTTACTGCGTGTGTACCAAGCATGTGCAAGGACCCTTTTTCCCATGTTTTAGCCCACTGAATCCTTCCTCTAGCTCCACAAGCTTGCTAGCTTTTAAAATTCCCATTCTGTGGATTAAGAAAATGTGGTATCTATACACAATGGAATTTTATGCAGCCATGAAGAAGAACGAAATGTTATCATTCGCTGGTAAATGGATGGAATTGGAGAACATCATTCTGAGTGAGGTTAGCCTGGCTCAAAAAACCAAAAATCGTATGTTCTCCCTCATATGTGGACATTAGATCAAGGGCAAACACAACAAGGGGATTGGACTATGAGCACATGATAAAAGCGAGAGCACACAAGGGAGGGGTGAGGATAGGTAAGACACCTAAAAAACTAGCTAGCATTTGTTGCCCTTAACGCAGAGAAACTAAAGCAGATACCTTAAAGCAACTGAGGCCAATAGGAAAAGGGGAACAGGTACTAGAGAAAGGTGAGATCAAAAAGAATTAACCTAGAAGGTAACACCCACGCACAGGAAATCAATGTGAGTCAATGCCCTGTATAGCTATCCTTATCTCAACCAGCAAAACCCCTTGTTCCTTCCTATTACTGCTTATACTCTCTCTACAACAAAATTAGAGATAAGGGCAAAATAGTTTCTGCTGGGTATTGAGGGGGGGAGAGGGAGGGGGCGGAGTGGGTGGTAAGGGAGGGGGTGGGGGCAGGGGGGAGAAATGAACCAAGCCTTGTATGCACATATGAATAATAAAAGAAAAATGGAAATAAAATAAAATAAAATAAAATTCCCATTCTGTAGATGTGCAAACTGAAGCTTAGATTAATTAAGGAATTTGATCCAGGTCACTGAGCAAATAACTGGAAGACCTTTTATTGAAACCCAGGTCTTTCTAACTAGAGGGACTGGGTTGTTATCCACCGTTTTGTCTTCACTGTCAATCACTTTGTCTTCCTGAGCTTCAGTGTCTTCATCTGCAAAGCCAGAAGACTGGATTTTAAAAATGGGTTACACTCCTTTCCTGCTCTAAAATTCTCTCAAGTTTATGGCTCCCTACAGAACCTCTCCATGTTAAAGACAGGTCAAGGTGAATTTTATTTATCAATTCAGAAGTAACAGTGAACACATCTATCACTTTACTGAGTGCTTTTATGTCATATCATATTTGATTTTTGTAGCTGCGGGGAGGTTACCGTTGTTATCCCCATGGTGCAGAGGAGGGCTCTGGGATTAAGAGGTGATGTAGTTAAAATTGTGTGACTCCTGACAGACCTTAGACTTGAAGCTACATCTTCAGACCCCTAAGTCTAATGTTCCTTTCAGTACTTGGCATCTTTGTACACTTAAAACTTTCTCATTTATCCATCAACACCCCCCTCTTGAGTGCCTGCTCAGTATTACAAACTTGAACTAAGCTTTGCCTGCAGACAGCTCCCCAACTAGTTGAGGAAACATTTAGTAGTCAGATCATATTGTACCTGATAGGCAACAGGAGAAGAAGGAGATGGTGTAGAAACACGAACAGGTGGAGACATCAGCTGGCAGACTCAGGCTTTCAAAGCCAAGATGCCATGAAGCTGTATCTTCAAGTCAGGTAGGAGTAGACTGAGGAAGAACCAGAAGGACTTTAGGGGCCAGAGGTGTGATCTGGAAATGGAGAGAAGCCACCTGTGTGTGGAGAAGAGTGGAGAGTTGTGGGTAGGGGTGGAAACGACAGGAGGTGGGACTGGAAATACAGGAAGAACCGTATAATGTGGTATATCTGCCACAACAAAGAGTTTGCACCTTGTTCAGGGGCTTGAGGAGAGTGGTGGCATCCTACCGGTACCGCATAGATCAGTGGAGTGTTGTAAGGGGGACAGACCAGCTTTAGCAAGAGTCTAGAATGGAGGTCAACAATCCAGGTGCCTGTTTGGGTCCAAAAGGGGAATATATAAACGGTTGGCTAAGGTTGGATGGGACTGTGGCACAGGAAGCGCCATGCCCCTCTAGAGGGCGCAGGCACCGCTTGGCACCAGCAGGTGGCGCCGTGCAAGAACAAGAGCTCATTCCCCAAACTTCGTGGTTTTCCTGGAGGAAGGTAGAAATCCAGATAATTTCTTGTGTGAAATCTCTTGATTTTTTAAATGGTAAACTTATTTGAAAACTTTAAAATACTGTACAGACCAATAAGAATATGGTCTGTTTCCTGTACTGCTGGGATGGAAGCAAGGTACCTGTCTTGAGCGCTTACACAGCCTAGGCAGAGATTATGGGGGTTTGCGCTCCGACGAAGGAATGGAGAGACGTATTGGGATTATGAAAATCCTTTGAAGCTGTCGATTATAGGAATTGGGAAGGATAGTCTCTGCAGGAGGGCAAAGGAGAGAAGAATAGGTGGGTGATTTGAAGTTTATCAGTTCATCCTCCACGGTCTGTCTTCACTTTTGTTAAACACTTTTTCGGGGACTCAGGGTGTCCTCAGTGTTAGAGCAGATGCTTAGCATGCATGAGGCCCTGGATTAAATCCCTGAACCAAAAAAAGAAGAAGAAGAAAAGGAAGGAAGAAAGAAAAACTCTTCATAGATAGTGAAATCAGGCTGAATTAACCCGGGATGCTAATGAATTAATAATGTTTGATAATGTTACATGCAGAGTTAGGCATCTGAACATAATTATATATTGCGTGCCATGCCTAAATGAGCCGAGATAGTTATGGCAAGAAAACTGTATGAAGCCATTGCCTCAATTTGCTTGACAAATAAGGGCATGGAGAAGGTTTGCGGAAGAACACATTTCAGTCAAGTGTTGAAATAATGATCAATGAGACCTTTCATGTCAGAAGATCTGAGCTCTGAATCAGAGACCTGGAGGGCAAACACAGCTGCTTGGCATCCACTCCTGACTGGTTTTACAGTCACCTTTTCAGAGAGAGCTATGTCAGGAGGACTGCGGGGGGGAGAGGGGCCGTCAATGGAGTCATCTTTATGCTTGACTTGCTGGCATTGTGGTTACTTAGGAGTTGTTCTTTGGCATAGGTTAAATTATCCAAACCACCCAGTACCCTCCAGCATGTGTCTGGCTGGAGCTATCTCCCTGAGGGGGATTCAGCAAAGCGTTCCCTAGTGAGGGATTGCAGACCCTCCATTTGGATGATGAATATTTCATCTTTTCCAGTTCGGTGGCTCTCTCTGTTCTTAGGACATTGCTCCACGTGGGGCTATTGAATTATTCAGCATCAGTCTGCTGGTCTGCTCTATTCCAAAGCTTCTTGCTGAAGAAGGCAGTGGTGAGTGCTGTGGCCAAACCAGAGTGGTCCAGATGTGGTCCTTTGCCTCCTATGACAAGTGTGTCTGCTTTGGTTTGTGTGTGAAGGTCCCAGACGGACACCGAAGGGAATGTCACTGCCGAGTCCAGCTCAGCAGGTGTGAGCATGGAGCCCAGCCACTACACCAAGAGTGGACAGCCTGCTTTGGAGGAACTCACAGGTGAGTATGAGCCCTCAAATTCTGTGTCTGCTTGTGAGAAGGCCTCCCAAACAACCACCTGCTGGAATAGCAGGGACTTGCCTGGTATACTGATTAGTGGGCTGGACAAACTTACTTTCTTGCTTTATTTGTTAATTTCCTTCTTCTCTTTCATCACTTTTTTTCTCTGTCACAGAACCTTCTCACTTTTCCCCAGAATTGTAAATAAGTCTCTTACCTTCATAAGTTCTAGGTTTAAGACTGGTTTAGTGTCATTCATTTAGTGACCCTGGACTATGGGCATACTTGTTTACTCTTCAGATAAAGTTGCTTTTCAACAAGATTTGGCAGTCTAAAATATTGGATTTCTTTTCATTCCTTATGGGAGCACAGATTAAAAATGTGTTCTTAGCATTTTCCATTAATTGGGAAGAAGATTGCAACATGTTTCTTTTAACAAAGACAAAAAAAAAAACCCAACATTTTATTTAACTATAACTCCAACAATAGTGATTGTAGTAATATTGTCTTATATAAAACATAAAATTCAATTTTCATGTAGTTAATGCCACAGACATTTATCGACTGATGTTGAAAGGTCACACTCTTATAGTAACTTTTTTTTTTTTTTTGTCAGTACTGGTATTTCAATTTAGGGCCTCACACTTGCTAGGCAGGCGCTCTACCACTTGAGCCACTCCACCAGTCCTAATGTCTTAGTGTAAAGAAGAAAAGTTATATCTAAATTAGAATTATTGTGTGTGTGCGCACTAAAGACTGAACCAAGGGCTTTGCGCATGCTAAGTACACTGAGCTATACCCCCAGAACACCTGTGAATTAGAATTCTTACTACAGTGTGTTCCATCTTCTCTGTTTGCTTTCCTGGTCCCCCACCTCGGTGCCCTGTGCTCCAACAACTTCCAATCAGGGAATTGAGCAATAAACCACATTTTTGTCAGTGATTATGTCACTCATCTCATATCTTACCGCTTCCAGAGTTGGGTTAAAATGAATGGATGTTCAAAATTCATTTATTAAACTAAATATGACCACACCATTTTAATAGCCCCATTGCAGCTGTGGAATTGGTCTGCAGCCCATGTGATTAAAATTTACCCATCTCACCATTAGCTTTGAGTATTAATTTCAGAGAATCTGGGTGATTTAATGACTTCTTCTGGGTCCACCAGCTGGGCACAGGGATGGTACATAGGCTTCTCAAGCCATTTGTAAGTGATCCATCTTAGAATGGCTCAGGGCCTCACATTTGGGATTGATTTTATGTTTCCTTCTTTTCAGGGTTTGTAGCTCCCTTGCATGTGAGTATGTGGATAGCACAGAGAAAGGATGTGGAATTCAAATGACTGCTCAGGTCTCCACACACATTCCAGATCATGTTCTTGGTGCACACATCAAAAAAGCTAGGCGAGGATCAGAGAGGCATACTATTCCACAGGAGTAGTTCCTGTCAGTCATAAATTCTTAGCAAAATCCACATTGGAATAGCAAACCAGCAGACAGAAAACGTTCCAGATATTACTTAGATTTTGGAGAGACAGGGTGCAGTCTGTAATCTTCCACTAACTTTTCTTTTTCTTCCTTTGTCTCCCATGTCCTGGTATTGTATAACCAGGTCTGAATTGAAATCTTAAAGTGCTGCTGGCTGGTTTGCGCAACTGCCTTGTGCAGTCAGGTGTGTCAGATCATGTACTCTTTGGTGTAACAAGGGTTTGATTGCTAGTGAAAATTCCTTAACTCAAAGTGATTCATCTTTACAGTCAAACAATAGAAATTGGATTTTTTTTTTTTTTTAAGAGAGACACTGATTAGGACAAGACTGAATTTAACTCACCCACAGTCCATCCTTTGGAATGATAGTAAATAGTGGTATATGTAGAAATGCACATTTATGAGAATAATTGGTCAATTGCTGGGTTTTCCCCTTGTTGATGCAAACAGGTGGGTCTTCCCCTGGTGTGGTCACATAAATAGCATTGTATTTGAGAAATGCACCATAGACTGTAGGGTTAGAAGGAACCATATACAGTCCATGAATCCCGCCTATAGCTTTCTGACAAATCATCTTTCAGCCTCTGCTTGAGTATTTCTTGTGACAGGAAGTTGTTCCCTCCTAAGGAAGCCATTCCTTTGTGTTTTGTTGTTGATTTGACAGGTAATGGAGTCACTGGATATAATTCAGCCCCGTGCAACCCTCAGATAATTTCCTTTTTTTTTTCTACATAGCAGATGTCCTTTAAGCCTTCTTCCAAATACACAGCCCACTCCTTTCCATGTTCCTTTTATAACAGATTGACATCCTACAAAGTCAGTCATGGTAGGTCAGAAATGAAGTGTGTTCTCAGTCACCATCAGTGGCTCCCGGGAGAGTTTTCCTTGGCAAACTCAAAATCCCTGTAGATAAGGTGGAATAGCTTAGTTTTAAAGGTCATTGTAGTAACTAAAAGGGCCCTACTATTTCCACTGGAGCTGGTTGTTTCTACTTTGTTCAGGCTGAGTTGATGGGAAAATCTTGCGTCCCAGCCACTGATCAAGGAGGTATAGTTGGTGTTCATAATGTGATCTCATAAGCTCAGGTGGATTGCTGCTTGTGTGTAACACTACCCTGGGGATCTGCTCTGGTGTGGGACTCTGAGGGTACTCCTAGAAGGCCCCCCAAGAGGGACACAGGACACACACATTGGGTGAACACTTATTTTGTGCTGGGCATATCATCTGTGCATGTCATCTGATTCTCATGCAAACCCTTCTAGGGGATGGTTTTTAATCCCCATTTTACAGATGCAATTGAGCAGATAAGACATGTCCAAGGTCAAGTGGCTAATAAGCCACAGTGCCACAGTTCACATTTTTTTTTTTTCTGGAGATGGGGATCTTAAGATGTAGCCCAGGATGGCCTCAAATTCAAGATTCTCCTGCCTCAGCTCCATGAGTGTTGGGATTATAGGCATGTACCATCATGCCAGGCTTGATTTACATCTTATGGGGATGTATGTCCTCAGTCCCACACTGACCAGAAACATTGGTTGAGCAATAAACATTTCTTAAGCATCTATAGTTTTATGTGGGGTTACCAAAAGTTTCAGATATCATGAGACATCATCCCTGGCTTGAAGGGATGAATCTTGAATCTCAATCTCTCTCTCTCTCTCTCCTGTCTCTCTCCTCTCTCTCTCTCTCTCTCTCTCTCTTTTTTTTTTTTTGTAAGGCTGGGGATAGAGCCCTGACCTGGTGTGAATCACATACTCAACCACTGAGCTACATCCCCAGCCCAGACATTTGAATTTCTAAATGAGAGTTAAGACAGGCAAATGTGTCATTCATCAAGATATGTATGAGTAAATATACTTTTTGCATGTGATTAGGTTAATTAATGGAGGTAATTTGAAAACCTGTGCTTCCACTTAGCTTCCTAATGTTGACTACATAAGACCTTGAACAGTCCAAAGGAACAGTATCTTTTTGTTAGCCTTAGATAGAATGTGGTCAAACTGGCAGTAAAAGATATTAATTAATAGCACAAATTACATCCCTTCCTCCAAGTGTCTTAGGGAAAGGAGTAAGAGGCCTTCACCATGCTTCCACTTAAGAACCCATATGTACATAAATGTATTTTAAAGACTTGGGTAGGAAATCAAAACTGAGCACTGTTCAGGTAAGAGAAAAATGTCTTCCAAATTTCTCTGGATTAAAAGGGAGTAGAAATTTAAAACAGTTGCACTTTCAAGGTTAGAGACTTTGCTGTAGTAAATTTCCTCCATAAAAATCACATGGCCATCATTTACTCCATCCCCCAGACTCCTGGCATCACCATGCGGAGAACAACCCAAGGAAGTGGTTATCTGTCTCAAGAGAAGTTTAATCCCATGACATTTCTTAGCTGCCTGTTGCCCTATTCATGATGGTTGTTGGAATTTCTACTCAGTGTCAAATGTAAACCCCACTGGCTGTTGCCCATACATACTATGTCCTATAGGGAGATTTCTTTTAAAATGTCATTCAATGCTTGAAAATGTCTTAGACACTTAAAGACCCTTGATTATGGGTTCCCAGTTTTCAAGCCTTCCCTGAAATTACTCTAAGGAGGAAAATGTTTGATTTGTTTGAATGTTTGAAACGTTGTTTGTTATTATAGTTACTTACCTTGTGAGGCCAAATGAGACAGAATAGCCAGAGAACCTGAAACAAAGCTGTGCAGAGAAGCACATAGCTTCCTATCTTGTGGGTAGCTTACTTCTCATGTTTGGCCAAGTGTCTCATGAAAAATCTTGCACAGAGAATGGAAGTGTTTGGTCCTGCTGAGAAGCCTGGCTGTTTCTCTCTGGCTTTTTGCTCCACAACACTAACTGGCATGTGTTGAGGGCTTGTGATGGGCACTATGCAAAGGGCCCTCCAGGGAGGGCCTTGGAGCCTGGTGCTGTAGTCATGCTTGTTTTAGGAGTGTGGAATCAGCAGGATGGAGAAGTCCAGCCCCTTCCCCACAATTCACCACACAGCCAGTAAGTAGAACAGCTGGGATTCAAGAGCACATGGTACATCTCACAAGGGAGAAGCCAGTCTCCCTCTGTAAACTTATTTGTGATTAACAAGTGCAAGTCTTTTAGCCATTGCAAGCTCTTTCTGCAAAATAGGGCCTGTAGCTGGGTGCTAGTGGCTCACGCCTATAATCCTAACTACTCAGGAGGCAGAGATCAGGAGGATCACAGTTCAAAGCCAGCCCGGGCAAATAGTTGGTGAGACCATTTCTAGAAAAAACCCATCACAAAAAAAGGACTGGTGGAGTGGCTGAAGATGTAGCCCTGAGTTCAAATTCCATTATCAAAAAAACCAGAAGGGACTTGGAAGAAGAATCTCCTTGGATTTAATAGCTTCTTATAGGCATCCATTGAGTAATTCATACATTCTCAAGTGCTTATGAAGCACCCACAGCAAGCTGGGCATGCAATCTGGTTACCGTTGCTGCTCTCATGGATCTTACCTTGTATCAGTGAGTTAAATCTTAACTGGCCTGTTTCCAGGGGAAGATCCGGAGACTCGGAGACTACGTACTGTGAAGAACATTGCTGATCTGCGGCAGAATTTGGAGGAGACCATGTCCAGTTTACGGGGAACTCAGGTTACTCACAGGTATCAGCAGCACAAATTACTTTGTTGACCCAGCCGGCGAAACTTCATCTTAACACTGGTTCTCCTGTGTTTGTTCATGCCACCCATAAAGTAATTTGGTTAAGAATAGAATAAATAACCTTGTTCTCCAAATGTTCTAGAATTCACAAAGAATGCTAGACAGCCTTCAGAAGAGTTAGTATAGATTCCTTCCAAAACCAGGTCAGTAAATTCATTCTACTGAGGATATTAGGGAAAGGCTGTATTTAAATTTCCCTTCACTTGCATTTTCCAAAACTGTAATGTACTGTTGAAAGGAGCAGGTGAACTGTGTTTGACCTATGTGATAAATTGAATAATTTGAATTCCTACCCGCTCTTCTGATGCACAACACTCTGTAATATTGTTAGTCATGCACGTGCATAAAACACGTAAGGAAATGTTTATAAGAACGGTGCTTAAACTATGATTTAGTTGGATGGAATCTAGAATTACATTGGAAACATGCATCAGGTGGTTTTCATTGTTCAGCAAGAAGTTGAAGAGGATGCAACCCTGGGATGTCCTTTGTGATTTTGGCAGAATGAGGTTTTACAGTTGGTGTTCAGCTTTGAAAATCAAAGAAAAGTCCTGGTTACCCCTGCTGAACTCCCAGGGAGTCTCCTTTGCTTCTCTAATTTCAGTTCCTTTGGTAAATGGGTAAAGGGAGGAGATGCAGGGCTTCCCCTCTGTCAGCAGTTTTGGCAGATCGGGGTTAACCACTGTGGGTTTTGTCTTCAGTTGGACTGAGGGGTCCAATATGCGGGAAGTGAGACCATTTCCAGGATAGGGAGGGAGTAGGGGACAAAAGCAGTTGGAAGCACCGAATAAACTCTTGAGAGGAAAGCAAATTTGGGAGTCTCAGGGCAACATCCTCCTAAGCCTTGAGGTACTTGAAGGACATGGAGCCAGGGGCTGGGTCCTGTGACTGTGATTAGGTACAAAACGTCCCTCTTCCCACCGTAATCACCAAAACCAACTTAACATTGGCATAGCATTTCTTTGGATGGATTTCTTGGCTTGAATTAGAATGGTAATTATGACAGGAGAAAAAATCCTCAACGGTTTCTTCTGCAGGGCAGACTCTCCCTATCTACCAGGGAGGAAGCCCAGTGCTGTTTTGAGGAGGGAAAAGATCAGCCTCTCTGTGCCACAGAGCCTGCAGGGCTGTGAAGACCTGGAATGTAGAAGGGTCTTCTGATGCCCACCAAGGAACTCAGGCTCCTGGCAGATTCTGTTCCATGTGACTTTATTTTTTAGGGAGTTCAAGCCCTAGCATTTGCCGAGCTTTTTAGACTTTTTAGATAAAATATAGAAGAAGCAAGAGGTCAGAAAAATCAGAATTCTTTCCTCTGTTCAGTAGGGAGGGAGCCGAAGATATGAAATGTGTTAGGAACTCCAGGGTGGGCTGTTGCATCCTACCTGCAGAGGAAGAAAGCAGTAATGCAGTGTTCTAGGAAAAAACCAGGCAGGTGGGAACCTGCATGCCCTTTCTTTATCTGCTCAGCTTTTTTGTTTCCTTTCCTGGATTGGAAAAAAGATTCTAGTAGTTCAGGGCATTTACTTTAAAGTAGTTGATAGAGGGTATTTTATATCATATTTTAGAGCCAATAGTCCAGAGGGATATTCAGAATTATAGAGATGTGAAGCTTCCTTTTTTCATTTTAAATAGCAGAAATAGAATATGGTACATGGTGCCTGTTGTTTTACCCTACTTTGTATATAAGAAATGTTTCATAATTCTAAAAATACTAAAGAATGTATAAACTGCAAAGCATACTAAGTGCTCTAGGGTCTAACCCAGGCTGGTTTTATGGTTTTTTTTTAGCACATTGGAAACCACATTTGACACCAATGTCACCACGGAGATAAGTGGCCGTAGCATCCTCAGCCTGACAGGGAGGCCTACTCCTCTGTCCTGGAGACTTGGCCAGTCCAGCCCTCGGCTCCAGGCAGGAGACGCCCCCTCAATGGGCAGTGGGTACCCACCTCGAGCCAATGCCAGCCGGTTTATCAGCTCCGAGTCAGGCCGCTATGTGTACTCCGCCCCCCTGAGGAGGCAGCTGGCTTCCAGGGGCAGCAGTGTCTGCCACGTGGATGTTGCAGACAAGGCAGGAGATGAGGTGGAGCTGGAAGGCATCAGCATGGACGCCCCTGGCTACATGAGCGATGGGGATGTTCTGAGCAAGAACATCAGGACTGATGACATTACAAGCGGGTGAGTGCCTGGAGACTCTGCAATGGGATAAGGCTTGGGACCCCACTTTCTCTTTTGCACAGCTTTACTTAAGTTCTCCAGAGGCGATTAAGCTCTGCCATCCTTGTCAAAGGCACACGGTATGGTGGGGAACACTGCTGGGATATAAGTCAGAAAGAATCCTGGGTAGACAGGCTCAACTCTAATGAGAGCTTAACTGGTGGTCAGTGAATTAATTTTGATGTAGTGTTGGTAGAGTCCACAAGGTGGAGACATTGAGACACTCCAAAATGAAACTTGGTGATGTCACAGGGAGAACTGCTTTCTTTGGCTACTCAAACCAGTCTTCCCTGGCTAAAAAAGCACAAGTGTTTACATTTCAGTTCCTGCTTTGCAAAACTTACATTTTTTAGCACGAGAGATAGTGCTTACAGCAAGTGTAGATAAGAGTGCAGAAATGTAAGCAAGCCACCCAATTACTGAAATTGGAGAACTTTGGTCTGTTTTTTTCTTTCCCTATTCCTTTTACAGTAGAAATTTACCTTTCAAATGAGGAGAGGCAGCACAGAGAACAATGCTCCTTCTACTTGTAACATTCTAGAGCACTTGTTAAGCATGGCTCCAACTGTGACAATACATATAAATACCTGCTTTGATGCCAAGTTAGGTAGCCTTTCCATGCTAAGTCTTTTCTACTCATTTCCTTTTCTTTATATAAACATAATAAGGTCAGAAGTATTGAAAAGCTGATCATTTACTCCATTCTTCAGAATCTGCTGAATAGTCATTTCAGTTGACTGAAGGGAAGGAAAATGGACTAAGATATTCGACAGACCAGCACTTAAACCCTGCTCAGCTCTTGGGAGCGCTGTGACATCAGACACATCATTTAACGTTCCTAAGCATTTTGGTGTGGCTTTTAACCTTTTACATTTAGATTTCTCTTTGAGGTTGTGTCTAATTAATGACAGAAATCTAATAAAGACACAAAATTTCAGGATACCAGGATCTAGGTATCATAATGACTTTAATATCCAGGCACTTAGAAATAATGAAATGGTAAAAGTTTGCATCCAGCTGTTTAATTGATGTAGTAGAAACCTGGCTTTGATGTGTGAATAATATATCATCAGTACAGATGCTGTTTGAGGAAAGTTCTTGCAAATGCTGACGGTAAGTATATTTAGGAAAACTAATATGGAAGTAAGTTCTAGTTTCTGGAAACCTAAGACCTTTTTTTTCAAATGATGTTGTGTCACAGTTTGTTAAAGCAACTTTTTTTTTTTGATGTCTCTGGTTCATGTTCTTCAGTGGACAAGTGTGTGCGTGCTCCTGTGTGTATCCTTCAATTCTCCCTAGGGTAGGGCTGACATTACTTTATCCTCATGGAGTTTAGCCAAGAACTTTCTGGAAACTGCCTTTTGACCTTGTGTGTATGTGTGTATGTGTTTATCAAAACCCTATATTGCACTTATGTGATGCTGGGCCTAAGTACTTTAAAAGTTGTCATTGCTTGGAGGTGTGGCTCAAGAGATAGAGTGCTGACAAGCATAAAGCCCCGAGTTCAAACTCTTGTACTGCAAAACAAACACAAACCAAAGCAAAAATGTTGTTATTGCTCTGACCACTACCTTTCATTAGGTTGATAAATTGGGCATTGACTATGGAAGAAAAGAAATGAAAATGGCAGATGAAGATATCTCTTATTAACTTTTGATCACTGAAATCAACCCTTTACTCAGATTCTAAAAATTCAGAGTGCCATATGGTACAGAATAAAATTAAAGGGACAGACATAGCATCCATATGTTTTGAAGGATTTTTTTTTCCTTTTCAAAGGGAACAATGAGTTGTATAATCTTCCAAAGTATAAATATGCATCTCTTCATGGAAAAAAAGTGACCATTTGAATTTAACATCAGAAGTCTCCCTCTAAGACCCTTTGATGGCTTCCCAAGGTCTTTGGGAACAGATGTAAACTCCTTAACTGAATATGGAAGGCCCTTAGTGGTCTGCCTCATCTGCCTTCTGACTTAAAGAGCCACATCCTCTATATGCATTCTTCCCTGCTTGAGGCCACCTGCCATTACCAAAGGCAGTTCTGGTTCCCATATTTGCAGAACTTTATCCCTTTGGGACATGCTACTATCTCCCTGGAATTCTTTTCCCTAGGAGTCCGTAGAACTGAGCCTGAAATAACACCTCCCTGTGATGTCTTCCTGACAACCAGTCAGAGTTAGATCTGTCTTCCTTCCTTATTTCTGGTGGCCTTGTTCATACCTAAAGGACTTATAAGCCTTTCACTTTACATGTGAAGTGTTTGAGGGGGACGGGTTGGTACTGAGGAGACGGTATGGTCTTAAGGGACAAACTTGAGATTTAATCCTGGCCCTGCCAGATGAATTGAAATAAGTTCTTAACTTTCTGAAAACTAGAGTTAAAGCTTGCCACCTGACAAACAGTCTGAATGTTCAAGAAACGTGTGTGTGTGTGTGTGTGTGTAACCCTAAATTCTCCCTGTTTAGTGGCAGGCATTACTGTATCAGTAGATGTGGGCATAGGTACCTGCTGGGAGACTCAATTTCTCAGAAATTGGGGACTCTATCCCTGCTGACTTACCATAGCTCCGTAAGTATATCAGATTATGTCAAGCAGCTCAGGCTGCTATAACAAAATACTTTAGACTGGGAGTCAGCAGACATTTATTTCTTATAGTTACGGAAGCTGGAAATCTGAATTCTGATGAGTGCTGTCTTTCTGGCTTACAAATGGCTACATTCTCACTATAACCTCACATAGCATGAAAGGAAGCTCTTGTGTGTTTTCCTCTTCTTATAAGGACATTAGTCCCATCATGGGGGCTCTACCCTTGTGACCTCATCTACTCAAATTACCTCTCAAATGCTCCACCTCCTAAAAACAGCACATTGGAGGTAGGTAGGGCTTTAGCATGTGAATCTCAGGGGAACCCAGACATTCAGGTCATACCAGGGTGTTTCATGCCTCTAGGCATAATTTGCCTGCATGATGCTTTATGCTTTTCCCTTCATTGCCTGCCAGGCCACCTCCTCTCTGAAGCCTTCTCATCTGTCCAAACAAAAGTAGTCGCTCTTTTTCTCTGACATCCCCTGATACTTGATATGTCTGCAATAGCACAAGCAGCACATACATTACACATGTATGTGTAATGTACATGTACATTTGTGACATATATGTACATATCTGTGTGTGTGGTAAGAGAGGGGGGACAAACCCATACCTGTCACAGTGCTCTGAAGATAAAGGTTTGAATACTCTACATCTTCATTGGTTGACACAGTGCCTGTCCTATAGTAAGTAAGCAATGAAATCTGTTGAATGAATGTTACAACTAAACTTAAATATGGCAAGACCAACTCCATCCCTGGATGTGTGCCTGAGATGGAAGCCTTTTTGAGCTTCCTTCTTGGCCTATCTTGCACTCCAGTTAGCCCAGGCCTTTGGACTACCTCTATCCCAGCGAGCCTGGCATTGACAATGTGGGAAAAAGAGACAGCTCAAAGCAGTCCAGGTCGTTGGCGAATGGGCTCGTGGCAAATGGAGGCGCCTATTCTCCTCCTTCCATTGAACATCAGGAGACAACAACTGTGCAAGGTGTTTCTCACCAAGAAAGAAGGCATAACCAGCAGCAAAATGGTACATTCACAGCTTAAAAGGCTTTTTCTTATCTGGCAACTCTTTCCCAGTGTCTCCAGGCCAGACCCAGAGCAACCCTGGTAAGCTGTTGTTCCTGGCATACTGATAGGAGAGGAAGCCAAAACTCACCCTGGAGCCAAGATGAATGATTACAGGAGAGGCTGTCCTAAAAAGGCCCTGATTCAGGGCAGGTTCCATCAGGACATAGTCAGCATCTGTGATTTGAAAAGGATAGATTCCTGTTTCTCTGGGCTGACCCTGCTAAAATGATCCAGTTTTGTGGGCTTGGAAAGTTCCAGCCTCCAGCCAGCCACGTGTCTGGTCTTAGTGGGATTAGGAAGATTGACTGTCTTAGAAAGGTAGAGAACCTCTTTCCCAACACCTAAAGGTGTCCATCAACCTGGCAGCTCTCTGAACCCCATAGAGGAGGGGTTTTGTGGAGGGTCATTAAGTAGACATGATTGATTAAATCTCTAGCCACTGGAGGTTAAGTCAGTCCTGAGCCCTCTTCCCTTGAAGAGTGGGCTGAAAATTCCAACCTCTACTCATCTGGTTGGTTCCTCTGGCAACCAGCCCTCACCTGATAGTCAGCTCAGTAGCCTAAATTCAGGTGTGGATATAAGGGACTTGTTGTGAATAACAAAAGATACTCCTCTCACTCTGTCACTTAGGAAATTCCAAGAGTTTGGGGACTCTTGCTAGGATCCAGGGGCAGAGACTAAGTTATAGTTCTTATTATGCCATTGCAAGACTCTTGCCTCTAATGCACAGCTCTCCCCTTAGTGCAAACAGACTTAAAAAGTACAAGGAAGTTCTGAGGTGAAGGTATAGGCCCCAGGCAGCCCAATATGTTAGGCCCATTCTGTGTAGGAGTCTTTTCATTCCTTTCTGTTCCCCTCAGGGTTTCATTGCTGACAGGACATGTGGTATATGAAAAACCATAAGTACTTTCTGATATTTTTCTTGGTGTTAAATATCCTAGGCAAAAACTATGACCCCTGCTTTCCTAAGCAGCTCTCTTGGAAGAGTAAGCAAGCTTAGAGTCAGGCAGAGGGCAAGATTAATTTCCCCAAGTGTTGCAAACAAGTGACAGCTTTCCCTGCATGGCTGTGATGTTACCTGACATGGGTGGTTTGCTGACTGATGGCCCTGGCTGTCAGTATCAGTCATCCCTGATGGCTGGTGAGCCACTGACTATACACTTGTTCTACCAGCTGTGGGGGACCCCTTGATTTACTGAGTGTGGAAAATCTGTTAATTTTATCAGCAGCTGGGAAGGCAGTGTTATCAGAAGAAAAAGAACAACCCAGCTACCCACAGTGGAAGAAGAGTAGTTTCCAGCATTC